GCCTCCCGCCGAGCAGAGAGCCCAATGCGGGGCTCGATCCCAAGACCCTGGGATCATGACCTGAGCCGAAGGCAGATGCCTAACGACTGAGCCCCCCAGGCGCCCCAGGAATGCACTTATTAACACAGCATGAACAACTATAAATGCATCAGACAATTTTTGGAATCTGGAATCTTTAGAATCATGCGAATTAGAATTAAGCATGACACCTGTGTTTGTAGGGCATAAGCTTAGAGCAGTCACAAAAACAGCTCCTATGTGAAAGAAACTTGATAAACGTTTTTTCAAATTTAATAAAATTCTAAAAATCTACATGATGTTATCAATAATGAGGTAAGAAGTCATAAAAACTTTTCTGAAATAATTAATCATAAGAAGCCAATTCGGATTAACCATGTTAAAGGAAAGACTGAATTACCTTTTTTCTCTTCATAGTAAATATTACAAAATTGTGTTTTGTATAAAGAGGCAAAGATAAAGAATTTGCCAGCTGAAAGGATGAATAAGCATTTAAAAAATGGATTCCAAAAGTTGTTGCTCCCCAAAAATGTAGGACAAAATGCATTGTAAGGGATATGCCAGGTAATTAATAAAAATATAATTTTCTATGAATTTTGCGATTTTATGGCACTTTTCACCTTTTAAAATTTTGTAGTTTCACAATTTCTTATTCTCAAAATATATTCCCTATCACACTGAATCTAGCATTCTTTTTCTTTAAAAGGGTCCCCAAATGATAAATACTTCAGGCCTCCTGGAACCTACATCTACCTTTGTCCATCTGCGGCCACATGGATATTACATTGGTACCTCACAATCAACATGCCCAAATCAACACTCCCCCCGCCCCACCCCCCACACTCCCTCCCCACCGTAAGTATCCCTCAGCCTCTCTCCAGAACTGTGGTGGCATCCATCCATTGTCAAACATATATCCTAGTCATCCCTCATGACTCTTTCTCCTTCAGTCAACACACCCAATCCACCCCTCAGGTCTTATAGTTCTAGCTCCTCAAAATAGCTCATCATCATTTCCTCCTTTTCAAACTGACCACCACTGCCCTAGTTCGGCCCGTGTTGGGGTAGGTGCAGAGCCCTCCACTGGTCTCCTGGCTCTGATGTTACCTCATTGTCCCTCCTCAGATCTCTTCAGTGAGTTTTCCCTCCTAATCCCACATCTGACTTTGTCACCCCCTACTCACATTTTTTTTTTTCAATTCCATCCTCCATCCAAATCCTTTGGTGGGACCCTGAAAGGCCCTCCCAGGTATGGATATTGCCTAACTCCATAACATCATTTCTCTGATCCTTTCTCTAGCCTCCCAAACTCCATTTATGTTCCAGGAATACTGAATTAATTTCAGTCCATCAAACATGCCTTATTGTTTCTTCTCAGTGGACCACAAATCTCTCTTCATGCATGTGTCTGCTTGGCAAACTCTTCATTCCTCAAGACTCAGTTTAGAACCTACCTCTGCTGTGAAGCCTTGCTGGACTCCTCTGCCCTCCGCCACACTCACAACTACTCCTAACAACCACCATGTTCTGCCCAGAGCAGCCTTTAGTTATTACACTGTAAGCATTTGCTCCCCACCTATATGGGATGACACTTATTTGTTCACCTGTTGTCTTTGATTCTCATTGGTTGATGAGTGACTTTCTCCTCCCTACCCCATCCCTGGGTGATCACTTTCATTTCCAATGAAAGATTGAGGTAAGTCGACACAGGTGGATTTAAAGTATGGATGCCAAAAGCTTACCCGTGATTTCTCTTTCTGTCTCTTTAGTTGGAGGAATGAGTGTGGGAACATGGAGGTTATATATGAAAAACTTTTATTACGGAATTGTTTGAACATTTTACAAAAAAATCACATTACTTTTCTAATTACAAAAATGCCTAACTCAGGAACACCCGTGATAGTTCCATGTTTTCAGCTGTGATGAAAAGATCTTGAAATTTCATGTCTTGCTTTTTTCAACCACTTTACTTTCTGAATTATGTAAAGGGAGATCAGTCTTCTCCTTTTGAGTAAGTTTTTCAGCAGCTTCCATGAATTTTATCCAGTAGCAAAAAAGAGGCTTTGGCCTCATCCATCCATCCATCCAACCATCCATCCATCCATCCATCCATCCATCCATCCATCCATCCATTTTTAGCCTACGTGATATATTCCCATGGTTCAAACTTCAAAAGATACAACAATCTCCCTCCCCACCCCTGTGCCCCAGGCACTCCTCCTCCAGGCACATTGTTATTTGCTACATCTCCTTCCAGGCTATTTTATGTATTTACAAGCAAATGTTTCTTAACATTTTTACCTGAAAAAATACTTGTTTTAGTCAGCTTGGGCTGTCATAACATAAACTGGGTGGCTTATACATCAAAAATGTATTTCCTCACAGTTCTAGAGGCCGGAAGTCTGAGACCAAGGTGCCCACATGGTGGGTTCTGGTGAGGCTTCAGGGTTTATAGATGGCGCCTCCCTGCTGTGTCCTCACAAGGAGGAGAGAGAGTGACCCAGTTCTCTGGTTTCTCTTCTAATAAGAGCACTAATCCCATAGTGAGGACTTTACCCTCATGATCTCATTTAAACCAAATTATCTCCGAAAGGCCCCATCTCTAAATACTATCACTGTGAGGGGTAGGGCTTCAATATAGGAATTTGAGGTGGAGGGAGACATAATTCAGTCCACAGCAATATTGGTTTCTAAAAACAAAACAAAACAAGCTTATATGCAGTGCCAACTGCTCTTTTTTTTTTTTCCTAAATGGAGCTTACCAAAATATAAGTATGACATTTTTTGTAGCACATCCCTTTCCACCCTCTCCTCTTCCGTTGTTTTTTCATAGCACTTAGAGACTAGTTCTAAAATAGTTCTGCACCTCTCCTGTGCAACCCCTTAGGACAGTATTCAGGGCTCTTTAAGATTCTCATTCCAAACTCTCTTCTCTGCTTAACACTGGGGGACATCCTGCACCCTACAATGGCGGCGCACCTGCAGACGGCATGCACTCTACAACAACGGCATCCTGAATGCCCTGGGCAGACTTTAAGTGCTTACCTCATGAAATTTCCTCTGTTTGGAAGCTCCACCCAACAATTCTTTCTCCAATATCTGTTCGAATTAGTAATTTGCCCCTCTATGTTCTCATTTCACTTTATAGCATAATTTACAGTGTAAAATGCCAGAATAAAATTCTAAGTAATCATGTGTTCTCTCACCTCCAACACTTACAGCAGGAATTGTATCTGATTAATTTTGTGTCTCTAAAGTACTTTAGAGACACTAAATTCAAGTTGGCCCGAAGAATTAATAAACTGTATTTGTGAAGACGATAGCATGAATTTACAATAACCCCTGAAAGTTTAAAAAACAAAGATAACTGAGTTAAATTGAAAAATCTAGCATCACAGCTGTGGAAACTTGTGGTCTTTATGTTGAATGTAGAATGGATATAATGAATTACTAGCTGTTTTTAGTTGCTATAAAATGAACGCCTTGCTGCGGCCTCCCAGAGAGAAATATTTATATATGTACTTATTAAAATCAGTACCCTGAACTGGCACAGAACAGTCTTCTTCCCTAGAGCACTTCTCTGGGGTAGTCAGTTTTTATTTAAAATGTGAATTTGGGATTTTAAAAGTAAATTTTAAAAGTTCTTAGGTTCAGGCAGAGATTTCAGAACCCCCTACCTCCAATGTGAATCCCAAATATTCTCTGTCACCTAGGAGCATAAAATTGTTAAGGCCATGTGTTCATACCACAAATAGTGCCAGATGACAGATGCTGCTCCCTGTGTAAAAGGGTACTAAACACTTAAATGCATGTGATGTACTAGCTCCCTTCTTTATCCTAATCTGGGTCTTTTTTTTTAATGGAACACTTCACCAATTTGTGTCATCCTTGGGCAGGGACTAGGCTAATCTTCTCTGTATCGTTCCAATTTTACCAACTGTGCTGCCGAAGTGAGCACCTAATCTGAGCCTTCTAATAGTATTTTGTAGAGTTCACGGTAATCAGTCTTTGTCCTACATCCCATTAAGGGTGGTGCAAAGAGAAGCCCTTATTAGGGGACTCTTCTTATCATTTCTATTTTACTCTTATTTTCTTAAAAACTTAAAGAATGATGTTCAAGCACAGACATCTCTCTTAAGGTTATGGTGGAGGGCAATGAGAGAGAGTTTTTGATACTTTTATTATTTAAAGAATAATTTAGATCTCTTTTTTTCCCTCTCCTGGAATTGTGAATTTTGTGTTTTAAAAAACAACTAAAATTCTGATGTGAAATATTTTAAACTTTAAAAATGTAAAATTTTGTTTTTAATTTTTAAATAAGTAGAATTTTTAAATAAATAGAATTTTAAATAAAAAGTTTAAAAAGCAAGGTAAAAACAAAGTATACATATGTGTGGGTGAAATGTGCTCCTTTAGCCCAGCCGGAAAATTATCCACTTAGAAAAACATAAATATACAGTAGCTTTAAGTATTAGAAGTGAAAATAATGGAATCTGAATGTAAATGTAGTATCAGTGTTGTGATGCGATATTTGAGAGCAGTAAGTTTTAATTGTGCCAATACTGGAAGGGGAAAAACCCGACCCATGGCGAACAGATTTCCGACGACCAGAAACAGTAGGACGACGCTCTCCTGCGATGAAAGAATGCGCCTGCGCTCAGACTCAGTTGGCGCCCGCCCTCCTGCTTTTTGTCCATCCGCCGTTTCCACTCTCTTTCGCGCTTCAGCCACCCGGGAAGCCCAGCCCCAAGCGTCGCTGGGCTCCGATTGGCTCCTTTGAAAGTCTACGGACTACCTGATTGGTGGGCCTCGGGCCCTTCAGCGCGGTGAGTTTGAAACAGCTCGCACTTAGCTTCAAAGCTGGCTCTCGGAAGTTGAGGCAAGAGCGACGCCGCCGCTTTCGTCGCGGGATAATAAGCCGCGTAGAGTTGCTGAGGTCAGGGTCATGCCCACGGGGCGTCTACTCGGCGGGGGCCGGCTCGGAGACCCCGGAGAAGGAGTATTGAGGAACCGGGTGGTATGAGGAGGCCGGACTGGGCAGCAGGGGTCTGCGCGGGGCCGGGCAGGGCCTCTGGCGGCTAGGCCGCGCCTTCACTCGGGCCCCGGGGGCCTGGGCGTGTGAGCGACGCCGGGGCCCGGCTTTCCGGGAAGGCTCGCGGGAGCCCAGACTCGGCGGGCATACCGTGGGGAGGGCAGGGGCTGCCCTGGCCTCGGAGTTGCAGTCTGGGGTCGCGGTGGGCAGTTCTCGCGAAGAGGCCGCCGACCTGGCTGAGGAGATTTTCGGGTCCTGCGTGAAGCCAAACCCTTGCACTGGTTCGACGACGCGGATTTCCAGGCTCCGTCCTAGGCGCTGCGGTTCCGGCCTGTCCCGCGTGCGCCCTGCTCTAGCCTGCGGGGGTGAAAGCCAGACCGCACCTGGGTCAGGTACCCACGCCGGCTCCCCAAGCCGGGCTGTCCCGGAACACCGGTCGGATGAACTGACTGGGCCTTCTCGGACTTCCCTCCGTGCCCAAGGCCCTTGTGCTCCCAGAGCTTTTAAGAACACCTGGCCAAGGATAGAACCGGAGGGAATTTAGATTTTTTCGTTTTTATTTTATGCTTGGTGACTGTTAAATACTATGCAAGGTGGAAAGCTAAGAAATGCCGAGAGATACATATATGTGTGTTTTAGTATCACTTAATTTTTGTTGAATACTAGGGTTACCAGTGTGCACGTCTTGCTTCCTTTAAAGACCTGGAGGTCTCTAGATAGGAGATGAAGCTGTTGGTGTTTTACATACAGCTGCTAGTAGTACAGGGCCTCAGAAGGCATTCAAAAGGCATTTTAAAGCTTCATCCTTTATTTTAATTGTTAGAACAGGAAAATGGAGAGAGGGTAATGAAACCCAGCTTTGAAATTTATTGTTCAGAGTGAGCTCAACAGTTTTGTTCTTTAGGCATAGTAAATCTGGATATTGTAGAAAAAGGTGATTATCCTAATTACTGCCGTTTTGAAAAATTAAAAAATACTTAAGATTGGCACTCATGGCCAGTGTAGTGCAATTTTGTTCATTTAAAAAGATTTGTCTCTACTTCTGGAATGATTTTGAAGATGACTGTGAGAAATAGAACTTAAGTGTCAATTAGTGACCTTCATATATGATCTTAGTGATGAGTGTGTTAGAAAATCAAAGTAATTATGCTTGGGCTTCTGAAGATGTTTCAATGGCAAACTTCTCAGCTGAGGAAGTCGTGAATGTCTCCTTGTCAGCATTTCAACTGACAGTTGAGCAATCTTGCTAGTGGGTGAGCAGTGTGGCCACCTTAGCTCTCTCTTTGTGTCTTTAAATATTTTTCCTTTTGAATTTTCTCCAAAAAAAAAAAAAATGTAAAGTACAATTGAGTCAAATAAAATTATTTGTGGAAGTGTTTGGGTATAACTAACACACGTTGGTGCTCCTTAGAAGTGTTACATAAAGAAAACATACTTCTGGTTTTTGTTTGGAAGGGATAGATAAGTTGATAGCTGAATTTGAGGGTTAATTTGACTGGAAGAAGCTAAATATTACACTGGTTAAGATATACAAATCCAGTGTTTTAAGAGCTAACAGATGGAAAAATCTTATTGCAGAAGTCCTTTCCTTTGTGAGTGTTGTTTTAACATAACTAATATTTATGGAAAATTAATACTGCACTAGACACGAAAATGCTTTACATATTGTATCTCATTAAAAACTTCAAACCCCCTTTTGAGTTAGTGGCATGAGACCAAATTAGCTTTTCCTCTCATTTTAGGATCTACCAAATCTGCTGATTAACTATGGAAGATTATACCAAAATAGAGAAAATTGGAGAAGGTGAGTGGTTTTAATAATAAAGTTTTTAAAAAATGATTTAGTAATGCTATAAATCTGGGGCATGAAGACATGTAAATATTTATTAAAATCCAATTTTTAAGGTATCCTGTGCTAATGTGCGTTAATTATATGTTCTTTACATGGTAACTTGTAAAATGTTCAGATTTTAAGAAAATTGAAATTATTCTGATATGATTCCCTGTCTACCCTCTCCATCCCCCTAATAGTCTTACATTTTAAAATACTAAACACTTAAAACAATATTTGTATTCTGAGAAGACTACTGATATCTTGTATGTGTGTTGGCGGGGAGAGGTTAGGGCAGTAGAATTATGTTGAGTTTAGTAGTGTACTTTTAGTCTCATACAATTATTTTTAAGATCAGTATTTTTACCTAAACTTTGTAAATTAGTACAGTAGATTATTAAACCAATTTAAATAAATTTTCGATTTAGTTTCCTTGGATTTAAATGACCTGTTATGTGTACATGTTTAAGCAAATCTAAAACAAATAACTCTTGTATATAATCATTCATTTCCTTTCTGTAGTACTTAAAGGTTTTAAAGAATGTTTATGTGGCACAAATGGAAGAGTAAAAATATCCCTTTGCCTTTTTTTCCAACAGAGTATCTTAAGTTTCTATTAAGTTGGTATTTACATTCTACACTCTAGGAACAAATGGTACAACTTGTACAAAGTAATTTGCTATTAGAGTCCAATTTTTATAGGTTCTGTTTGAGGAACATTTCCAACTAGTATATTTTTAGTGTGTTCCAAAACCGTATTTGTATAAGGAATACTACTAAAAATCCAGGGGCGGAGTACTGGAAAGAATTTAGTGAGATAGTAATGATAAGTTTAGGTGGTGATTGGTTTAGAGAGCTATTCTTTTTCTTAACTTACAAATATTATATGATATTTTTAAAAATCACTTAAATACTTTGTTATACCTGCTCAACTAAGCTAATTTTGTTTCTGAGTTGAAAATAAGAAAATATCTACTGTCTTCTGCTTTGAGTTTTTCTTAATCCTCAGAGAATTAAATGAGTGCTGATTTTTAGTTTGGAACAAAAAGTTATTCCTAAAGTGTAAATGTGTTTTTCTTTAAAACTCTGGAACTCCTGACATGCAGGAGACTACAGATTTGACTCTTGAGAAAAGGTACTCTAATTGAAATACAAGCAGTAAAGAGTATAATTTCAAATGTAGTCTTAGTTTCTTGAGTTAAAAGATTCCATTCTACTACATGATGTCCTCATATTCCCTATTCACTGACCCTGGGCTTTTGGCAATGGCTGTTCTTTCACTTTGAAAGCCACTCTCTGCTGCCTTCACTTTCATCTCATTGTTCTGGTCCAAGTGCGTTTTGTAGTTCCCTTTTTGTTATCCTTAATATCCTTTTTCTTTACTGCATTGTAAGTAAGCTTTATGAAGTTTGGGATTTTGTCTTGTTCATAAGTGTTTGAACAGGGCTTGGCAGTAGTGTCTAGCACTATTGGAGATATTAAAATATTTGATAATAACATTATCTATTTTTCTTGGTGTGTTTTCCTCTGTTTCTTTTTCTGACTTGTATTGTCTTCACTACTCCAGTGCCTGGCTGTTTTGGATTTTGTGGTGGACACGTTTTTGAAAAAATAAATTGTATGAATAATTTAAGGCCTAGATGATACCTTTCACACAGTATTTTCTTTTGGTTTGCCAGATACCTGGTCAAATTCTACCAGCATTAAAGTACCAATTTGAAAAGTTAAATTTCTTTCCCTCAACTTTATTATATTTCCAAACAGAGAAGTTGAAAGATAAATTCAATGAACCTGTAATACCTTTTGCCAAGATGTTAATTTTGTCACATTTACTTTATTATCTGTGTGTGTTTTTAGCATTTTGTTTTTCTTTTCACCCATGTAAAGTAAGTTGTAGAGATGTCCTTTACTGCTAAATACTAATGTATGTATCTTCTGAAGAACTAGCCAATGTCATGCATTTCATTTGGTGACTAATGTCTCCTTAATCTTTTTCTAATTTAGAATAGTCATCCTGACTTTTCCACCTTGACACTTCAGTTTTTTGACAACTTGATTCATTTCTTAAATACCTCTAGTCTTTGCTTGTTTTAGTTATTACAAAGGTGTTCTCTGGTTTCTTCTGAATTACAAGGATCTGAGTGTTGTCACATTCTGTTATAAGAAAATGTCTTTTTGGATCATAGAGAGTAGCTATATCCATGATGTGGGACCTAACGTGGCCTTTATTCACTCAATCAACATTTGATTAAAGTTTTTGTGCTTACCAGTTAGAGTCTCCAGAACCTGACCATAACTAACATTATTTTTTTAATTTAATAATGTGTAGTTCAGGGTGGTTGGGTGGCTCATTTGGTTAAGCATCTGCCTTTGGCTCAGGTCACGATCCCATGAGTCCCACATCTGGCTTCCTGCTCAGCAGGGAGCCTGCTTTTCCCTCTCCCTCTGCCTGCCGCTCCCCCTGCTTGTGCTCTCTGTCAAATAAATAAAATCTTTTTAGGAAATATAATTGTAGTTCATTTCAGAGTATATATTATGCATTTCATAAATAATTTTTGGTGCTTAACCAGCAGAATCATTCTGCTTTGTTTAACTAGAGCTCTGTACTAGTAGTTATGAGTGGTAATGGTTCATAGAGTCAGAAGAGAGACATAGAGCACTTGTGATGTCTAAAATTGAATAAATACTAAGAGTTAGATATAAGTTAGTTAATTGTTGTGAGTAAATTTTAGGCCCAGATGAGATTGTACAGGAGAGAGAGGAATAGTAGGGGAAAAAATTAGTTCTGAATTTACCATTAACTGCTTATTATGCAATTGACGAATCTTGAATTTGCTTTAACAGTGTGCCAGGTAATTGTGCTACTGACTTACCTACTTTTGTGTTTTTTGATGCAAGAATAATTCATATCCAAAAAATGGACAGACTTCAATTGAACAGAAGGTTATTTTTAAGGATGGTTGTGAAGATCAATAAAGTCAGGGTTTTTTAAAATCTGGAATAACTTTGGTTATCCAAAAGTCACACTTAACCCAGATTTAGTCAAAATAATGTAAAATTTTAGGCTCTTAGGTCAATTATGTCTTTAAAATCATACCAGTATTTAGAAAGGCAGATAATTGTGTAGAATTTCTCTGTTTAAAACAAAATTAGAACAAAGTTTATGTAACATCACCAAACCATCCTTAATATTCTAATTAAGCCAGGAGATAATTTGATAGTAGTTCTTAGCCTTTTTTGAAATATTGCTACCTTTGGAGAAACTAATAAAAGCTATAGAATAGATCTCCTTAGAAAAATGCACTCTAATCGCTTTTGAAGTTAAACCGTTGTACAGAAAAATAGGTTATTCAAAATTTTATGTAGTCAAGTTCAAGATCTCCTATATTTTCCAACCTGAATTTAAAATTTTTATTTATCTGTTAAGATTTTATTTAGTTTTTAAGTAGGCTCCACACCCAACATGGGGCTTAACCTCACAACCCTGAGATCAAGGTCATGCTCTGCCTACTGAGCCAGCTAGGCACCCCTCCAACCACAGTTTTAAAAAGCACTTATCTCGGGGCACCTGGGTGGCTTAGTCATTAAGCATCTGCCTTTGGCTTAGGTCATGATCCCACGGATCGAGCCCCGCATTGGGCTCCCTGCTCGGCGGGAAGCCTGCTTGTTCATTCCTTATCTCACTGTGTCTCTCTCTGTCAAATAAATAAGTAAAAATCTTTAAAAAAAAAAAAAAAAAAAGCACTTATCTGGGACTAAATGTATCCTGTATATGAATTTTTTTAAATTTAAGATTTATGCATATTTATTTATGGGGGGGCGAGAGTGAGCATACAAGCGGGGGGGGGTGGCAGGCAGAAGGAGAAGCAGGCTCCCCGCTGAGCCAGGAGCCCAGTGCTGAACTTGATCGCAGGGTCCTGGGGTCATGACCTAAGCCAAAGACAGACCTAAGCCGACTGAGTCACCCAGGCATCCCATTGTATATGAACTTTTTAAACTAGTTCCTCTCCTTTATATTGCCGCTTCTGCTCTCTGTATCCACCCTCCTCCTGCCCAAGATTTCTTATACTGACATTGTTGCTCATTATCTGAAGCTTATATATCAGAATCTGTGTTCGTGTTAACTTCCAAATGGGTGTGAGGCTTTCATACCAAATAGTAGATATTTTGAACTTTATTAAATTTACTAAATGTTTCTCAAATATTTAGTAAAATATTTTAGCTCCATTTTTTCTATTTGAAATGCATAAAGCACTCTACAGTTTTCTGAAAGTGTCACAGTGACTCCTATTAATAATTCCTCAGCCCAAATCATCTTCACCCTATATTTTATGCCTGCTTTACTGTTGGGTGGGATATTTGAAAGGAGATAAATCTCAATCGGCAAAGGATCCATTTTCTTTTCTTCTCTAAAATGTGCTGGGAAATTATTGGTAATTTAAATGTATGGGAAAATTGTGACAACTACATGAATTTTATTTCTAAACTATAGACATGATAGCTTGTAGTTAGCCTCAGTTTCTTTTTGGAAGTGATGAGGGTATAATTATGAGTAAGACACTAACTATCTGGTCACAGTAGACATTTCTGTCGTGTGACACTTAATGGGATTAGTTATTATTTAAAACCTTAGTTTGTGGAGGGTTTCATACAGTAGACATTTACTTTGTCTATTTCAGGTACCTATGGAGTTGTGTATAAGGGTAGACACAAAACTACAGGTCAAGTGGTAGCCATGAAGAAAATCAGACTAGAAAGTGAAGAGGAAGGGGTTCCTAGTACTGCAATTCGGGAAATTTCTCTATTAAAAGAGCTTCGTCATCCAAATATAGTCAGGTATGGTATATCTGAATTTAAACCATTTTCCGCATCCTATTTCAAATGTGAATTTCAATGTGGAAATTTTTACATTTGCTTAATATCTGGTCTAACTTTGCTGAGCGGAATAGAACCCACTATTTTTGTTAAGTGGGAATGCCGGGCATAGGAAGAATAGGCTTACAGCAGGAACAGAGTTAGAGGAGCTTGGTAATAAGAGATTAGTATTGGGGGTTGGAAAATCAAGGTAAACTGGCCAAGGGAGAAAAGGAAATCCTTTTTCATAGACCTTTATCACCTATACCAGTCTGAGCTCTGGTCCTTGAAGACCCCTTAGTCAGAGGCCTAAGACAGGTAGCTAGGTCAGATGAAAAAAAATTTTTTAAGTATTTGGATTGGTGTTTTTGTTTCCTAATAGTCCAAGTTAGGGTTTAATCGCATTTTTCTGGGGCTGGAAATAGTGAGCAACTGTTAAGGCTTCCTAGTAAATTTTAAAATTAATTTCTATAATTTACTTCATTGAAAAGACAAGCTCTGAGCAGCAGTCAACCTAAAAATGTTCTAAATGTCTTTTTTTTTTTTTTAAGAAATGTTCTTTTGAAATATAAGTGGTATAATAGTTAGCACCTTCAGCATAATATGACTTAATTTTCATTTGCTGCCCTGAATGTTCTTTCTCAAATTCTAGTTTAGTACTAAGGTTTTCACTACTAGGGAAGCTACCATCTTTTCTTTCCCAAAACTGTATTTTTTGTTATAGAAAATTTCTTATAGTCTCACTTTCTGTGATAGCCATTGTTAAATTTACAGAAGTTTTATTTTGTGAGAGGTCAAAAGTGTTTGGTAAATTTTTTTTTTTTTCACATGACTATTTTATTCTCTAGTCTTCAAGATGTGCTTATGCAAGATTCCAGGTTATATCTCATCTTTGAATTCCTTTCCATGGATCTCAAGAAATACTTAGATTCCATCCCTCCTGGTCAGTTCATGGATTCTTCACTTGTTAAGGTAAGACGCTTATTTAATTTTATTAGTATTTATCCACTTACTAAATTTATTAGTATTTATCTTACTTAATTTTATTAGTATTTATCCTCTGAGTGTAAAGAGTCTACTCTAGAAGTTCTGTATTTTGGGGGAATATGCTTAGAAAAAAATGTTAGTAGAACAGGAAGAAAAGAATATTTTTCTTCCACAGTGTATAGATTAAAGTTACCCTTTTTATTAGTAGATAGTGCTTCTAGTTATAAAGTGAAAAGCAGTGCCTGGGATAACATAAAACCATTAAGTATGTATTCCATTGTTGGAAACTAGGATATTTTGGTCTTTATTTGTCAGTCAGCTGTGTGTAAAACAATGTAACAAGCTTGGTAGGGTAATGACAGCAAGTGGTTTTATTTTATTCTGGTTTTGAATGTTTTAATTTATTGTTGACATTATATTTCAGTTAAATTATAAATGTATAATTTTTTTTTAAAAGCATTGTAGTCCATAAAGTAGATGTGTCTTTCTTTTAAACTGTACCAATACCAAACCACTCCTCGGGTAGGTAGCCATTGTTAGTTCTTTAGTAGTCTTACAGATGTTTGTATGTCAGCTTTGTATATACACATACGCTGGTTTACAGAACTGTAAAACCCTTTTTCTGTGAGACATTCAGCATAGGTTTGCCCATCTATCTAAATGTTTGATCTAATTATTTATTTTTAAAGATTTTATTTATTTATTTGAGAGTGAGAATGAGCATGGGGTAGGGGCAGAGGGAGAGGGAGAAGCAGACTCCTTGCTGAGCAGGGGACCCCCCACCCAAGACAGGGCTCAATCCCAGGACGCTGAGATCATGACTTGAGCCCTGAGCCAAAGGCAGACGCTTAACCGACTGAGTCACCCAGGCACCCCTGATCTCATTATTTAAACCAATTCCATACTGATAGGCATTGAAGTTGTATTCCAGCTCGGTGATTTATGCTCTCATGAACCATGCCCTAGTGAATCCTTATTTTTATTTGTGGTCATTTGCAACTTTATAGAATAAATTCTATTTTTTTTTTTTAGATTTTATTTATTTGATAGAGTACCAGCGAGTGCACGAGAGTTGTGGGGAGGAGCAGAGGGAAAGGGACAAGCAGACTCCATGCTGTATGCGGAGCTGGACTTGGGGCTCAGTCTCACAGCCCTGAGATCTTGACCTGAGCTGCAACCAAGAGTTGGATGCTTAACTGACTGAGCCATCCAGGTGCCCCTAGAATAAATTCTTATAGCTTTAATCAGTGAGTTGAAGATGTTTATTTACTTTTAAAATCTTGATAATGCCAGTTGCCCTCCAAACAACAGTAGCGCTTTACTCATCATGGTGCGTGACAGTTATTTTTTTTAGCACCTACTTCTATCAATCTTGTAAATATTTTATCAGTCCATTATGTGAAAAAAGCATATTATCATTTTGTATCTCATTTAATCATTTTTCATTTTTAGCTATTTATAAACAGCCTATACATAATTCTTTTTAAAAAATATTATTTTAAGTAATCTCTACTCCCAATGTGGGGCTCAGACTCAAGAGTCGCACTCTGTTCTGACTGGGCCAGCCAGACGCCCCTGTCAATACAGTCTTTTTTTTTGTTTTTCTAACAGTTGATTTTATGTATTATTTGTAATTTTGAACTTTATAAGTCAATACTATTACTATATGTACTTTATATTTCTGTAACATGCATGTTGCTTCAAATGACAATTACATTGTCTTGGCAACACCTGTCTTATACAATATTTTTCTGTGAACTAGTAAATAGCATGTTATGATAATTGTCTTTATTTAAATATGTAATCATAATATCCTGTTTGTTATTTCTTTTGGAATCTGTGACTAGTGTTTCCAAAGAAGAAATTAATATGTAATGATAAGAAATAGAAATGGGGCGCCTGGGTGGCTCAGATGGTTAAGCGTCTGCCTTCGGCTTGGGTCATGATCCCAGGGTCCTGGGATCGAGTCCCGCATCGGGCTCCCTGCTCCTTGGGAGCCTGCTTCTCCCTCTGCCTCTCTCTCTCTGTCTCTCGTGAATAAATAAATAAAATCTTTAAAAAAAAAAAAAAAGAAATAGAAATGGACCAACCTTATTCAAAATAAAAAAAGTTGCTATAAATATATAGACTAAAGTTTAAAAAACTGTCTGTGGGGCGCCCCGGTGGCTCAGTTGGTTAAGCATCTGCCTTCGGCTCTGGGTCCTGGGATTGAGCCGTGTCCAGCTCCCAGCTCAGTGGGGAGTCGGCTGCTCCCTCTCCGTCTGCCCCCCCCCACTTGTGCTCTGTCTCTCACTTTCTCTCTCTCTCAAGTAAATAAGTAAAATCTTTAAAAAACTGTACAGAACTTAAGAATTGGGTACAAAAAATAGTAGAAGACTAAATGAGTTCATATGGATATGGATGTGTCCATAAGGAAAATATCTTTGTCTCAAGTATACAAACATGATACTGTATATCATCGGGCTTCCTACCCCCAAATGCTCCTTGTTAGTCTCAAATGCCTGAAAGCTTTTGTGGTCGTTAAATTATTTCCCTGCATTATAATTTCTTATATCTTAGAAACAAACCCACCAAGATTATTTAGAAAGTCATTATGTGGGACAGTTAAGTTTCTAACTAACTTCCTTCTTCCAGAGTTATTTGTACCAAATCCTACAAGGGATTGTGTTTTGCCACTCCAGAAGAGTTCTGCACAGAGACTTAAAACCTCAAAATCTATTGATTGATGACAAAGGAACAATTAAACTGGCTGATTTTGGCCTTGCCAGAGCTTTTGGAATACCTATTAGAGTATACACACATGAGGTATGTAGAATAGTGTTTTTTGGTGCTTTTGAGTATGTGTGATTGCTGGTTTGTTTTCTGTATTTGTTCATTAAGTCAAACACTCAATAAGAAAGATTTCCATCCTGCCAGCATGAGTTTATTGCCTCTCAGCTCCAAACTCACTCTTCATTGCATGCTATGTGAAAATCTAACTGGGACCTTTAAATATTCTTTCTTTGCCCACAAGCGTGATGGCTGTAGCTGGTGTGGGAGAGGCATTGCCGGAGGAAGGGGTTTTCTTTGCTAAGAAGAGTTTTAAGAGTTATATAAGAGTCCTAAGAGTTATTCCTTATTAGTCTCTTTTTCTAACCCTCTTTTATTTAATAATCCTTCTTAGTAAACTTTCCCCAAGCAAAACACCGTGTAGTTTCTGTCTCCTGATTGGATCCTCTCTGGTACACAATCAAATTGGTAAAAGAGAGGTTTTGTTGCTTACGGGTTACTGTTTCAGATATATTTAGAAACTACTGAATATAATCAAGTTTTGTCCATGTTCCACAGATGACTTGGCATTTCATTTGTTACTTCCAGAGGGAAAGGGAGTGTTGACTTCTATAGTAAAGGACTTCTGGAAGATGGTTTTCTGTGGCATTGTCTATCCCTGAGCCCAAAGACTATCTCCAAATCAGGACTTATAACATTGTTCATTTGGTTAGATGTATTGGCTTATTTTCATCATTTTTCCTATGGCTGTATAAAAAAGTAAAGATTATTTGGTTCCCATTGGCTTAAACAGTTGCTACTGACCTCATTAAGTTAGAGATGATATTTTTACCATCATGATAAATTATAGATACTAAAATAGTACATCAGCTCTAGACCACTAATAAACTTATTTGACTTACTCATGTTTTTAGCATATAAGCAGTGTATGTACATGCATTGTACAGTGTCACGCCCAAATCCATTATCAGTGGCTTTTTTTTTTTTTTAAAGTGAACGCTGTCTTGACTATTTTGATTCTTGGACTTTAATGATTTGAAAAGCAAGAAAAGAGCTGGTATGCTTTTATCTGATGTTTGTTTTTTTTAACCCCCTCATGAATAGAACTTACAAATAGAACTTACAAATGAAATTCTTATCTTCCATTTATTATTTTGTGTATAGTTAGTTGACGTTCAAGCAATATTATCAGAGGCAACCATGGAACCTTTTAAAAGACAGTCTTACTGAAATATAAAAGTGTATATTTAGTAATTTAATGCACTGCATTTATTCAGTGTAAAAATTTGCTTTGTAATAGGTGGTAACACTCTGGTATAGATCGCCAGAAGTATTGCTGGGGTCAGCTCGCTACTCAACTCCAGTTGACATTTGGAGTATAGGCACCATATTTGCAGAATTAGCAACCAAGAAACCACTTTTCCATGGGGATTCAGAAATCGATCAACTCTTCAGAATTTTCAGGTATTTTTGTCTTTTTAAGAACTTTAAAATTTCAAGTGAAATAATAATGAAGGCAACATGTATGTAATACTAAGATTATGCTTTAACTAATAATTTCTTGTTTTGCTATACCCTTTTAGAGCTTTGGGCACTCCCAATAATGAAGTGTGGCCAGAAGTGGAATCTTTACAGGACTATAAGAATACATTTCCCAAGTGGAAACCAGGAAGCCTGGCATCCCATGTTAAAAACTTGGATGAAAATGGCTTGGATCTGCTCTCGGTAAGGAGACCCTTGACTTCAGCATTTTTGATTCTGAATGTGCTCGATTCATTTCCTTTACCTGGGAAATAAACCAACATATATTGAGCTACGCACATAACTATTATGCCTGTTATGTTTATTTTATAACTAGCTCCATTTTAGATACCAAGAAACACGAGTGGTTTTGAGAGGAGGTTTTAGCATTAGTTGTTTGAGTTTTTAAGTAGCTATAGATGCTCTGTGAAGGAGAGGCCAGGGCTAATATGCCTTAATTGTTTTTAAGTAGCTGGTTCATAGTAGCCTTCCTTTCTAACTTTTTATCTTGGTGTTTACAACTTTTTAGTTTATCTGAGACAGTTGTTTTCCTTATTGCTTGATATTTTTAGTTATTGAAGCCTTTTACTGCATGAGCTCATGAGTTTCTCACTTTGTGCCTCATTTGTATATCAGAAAGGTTAGTAGAAGGACTAACGTAGTTCTTAAAAATCTTTCCCCTTTACTACATTGCCATTCCCAAGTAATAGTTGTTTTCTTGAAAAGCAAGACAAAAAAATCTGTTAGGATAAAATATAAATTGTCCTAGGTAGGCCTTTAAGAAGGTAGGCTTTAAGAAAATTGTTTTAGAACAGTATTTAAATATTGAGCTTTTAGATGGAACTAATTTTTATGAATCTTAGCTAATGTAATGACAGAAGAAAATAAGGTTTGTGTAGGTTACTGAACAAAAAATATATATATATTGCTCTATTATCCTGTAAACCTTCTAATTGGTCTTTGGGCTCCTTTCAGAATTTATAAATCATGCTACCAAATTCAGCTCGGATTTCCAAATTGCTTGCAGTGAAGTCCAAAGTCCTTTATCTGTCATTCAGATATTTTATATATCAGTTGTTGATTTGACTTAGAAAGTCTTCCTTATCCTGGGCCCAATCTGTCTTTTTAATGTCTGTAATTCTTGAACACAAAGAACACAAAGAATTTCACTTCAACAAAAATCAAATACTGTAAATCATGGTTCCTTAGTCTAGCTGGTATTGACCTCTTGGACTGGATCATGTTTTGATACTAGGGGCTGTCCTGTACATTGCAAGATATTTAACAGCATCCCAGTTCTCTGTCCCATAGCTACCAGGATCATATTCCTCTCTCACTTGTGACAACCCAAAATGTCTCCAGACACTGTCAAATGTCCCCGGACAGGCAAAGCGTCACCCAGATGAGAACCACTGCTGTAAATCCTCAGACTTGGTTTTAGATTTAAACTTCTCAGGTCTAAGAACTTGGGCAAGTTACTTAACCCTTGAGCCTCAGTGTCCTCATTGTAAAATGGGACCAGTACTTAGCTTTTGTGGTGAGGATTAAGTAACATTATATGTGCCTAGCACTTAATATAGTGCTTGTTACATGATAAGAGGTCAGGGTTACTAGATAGTAAAAGTGTATCTAGTCTGCTTATTGATTTGGTTTTCTTTAAGATTAATGTTTAAGATAAAATTTAAGATCAATATTAAACTTTATACAGTCTTTTCTGGTGGTGTGTAAATTAAAACTTTAATACTAGATTGATTATAATTCATTTACTGACTCATTTTAACTATGTTTATAACACATTGTGCTCTGGTTTTGTTTTTATTTGGAACTTGCTGGAAGCTACATTAGAAACCACTATAGTTAATTGCCACCATTTCAACAATGTTATAAATAACTCAGATGGCCATTTAATTCTCAAAGTAAATATAATTAACTAGATATCTTTCTTAAATTTATGTCCTGGTTTTAAAGCTATCTCTGAATGCTTGTGTCTTAAAGCATGATTTAGAGCAAAAAGGGGTTATTGAGATATCTATAATTTAAGGAATAAGTTATTTTAGAGCTAGAGGGTGAAGTATGGAGGATGAGGCATTTATGTGGTTTGGTATTGAACTAATGGAAATGTTCATTTAGTTGTTTTTTTATTAAAATTATTAACTTATGGCTTATTGGTAGAGAAATTAAGGCTTTATGGAAATTTTTTTTATGGTTCATTTCTTAAATAACTTTTTTTTTCTTTTTATCTCCCCCCCCCCCCCCCCAGAAAATGTTAGTCTATGATCCTGCCAAACGAATTTCTGGCAAAATGGCACTGAATCATCCATATTTTAATGATTTGGACAATCAGATTAAGAAGATATAGCTTTCTGACAAAGAGTTTCCACATATCAAGAACAGATAGTTATATTTTTATTGCTAACTTTGTCTGTTTTTGTTTTGTGTATTTTTCTTTTCTTTGTTGTAAACTTAAGCTGTACTTCATCTTCTGATTTCAAAAGTGTAACTTAAAAATGTAAATATTGTTCTATATGAATTTAAATATAATTCTGTATATGTTTATAGATCTCACTGTAACAACTATTTTTTTTTTTAAGATTTTATTTATTTATTTGACAGAGAGGGAACACAAGCAGGGGGAGTGGGAGAGGGAGAAGCAGGCTTCCCGTGGAGCAGGGAGCCCGATGTGGGACTCGATCCCAGGCCCCTGGGATCATGACCTGAGCTGAAGGCAGACGCTTAACGATTGAGCCACCCAGGCACCCCTGCAACAACTATTTGTTACCATAATAAAACTATAAATCTAGTTTTGATGTCAGGAATTGCAAAAATTTTGAGTTAGTTTAAATCATCGCAAACCTTAAGAGTCTGGTTTTCCTGTAGTTGGAACCACTAAAATTTAGGAACGTGTGCTAAGTTCAAAGTTCATAAAGCTTTGAAGTGTTTTGATACTCTGAGTGTTTGAATTTTGTCAGTTTCTTGCCAATTGGTAACTGTTCAACCTGCCTGAAGATGAGTTTTTCCTGCTGGTATTTCAATTTGTGACCTAAATGTTAAAGCATTCAGAATGAGAAAACTATCCAGATTTGAGAAATGATGCTAAATTTATAGAGGTTTTCAGTAACTTATAAAACTAACATTAGAGCATGCCAAAGTTTTCTAAGTTTTACAGTCAGAGATCAAGGGCTGCTCACAGCAGGGAAGAACAGTTTAGAAAATTTATGAACTAGCCTATTTTTAGGTAGGTTATGAAAGTTATTTGTCTAAGTGAATTCTTATGCCTTGGTCAGAGGTAATAACTAGAAAAAGGAGTTGCTCATCTTGGCTTTCAAGTCTGACTTAAAATCTATTTGCAAATTTTGACATAATTTTGCCTTTTAGCAGCCTTAGAAGGTTCTAATATACAAGTACTTAGCTAAAATCACTAGCTTTAGGAATTGTTAAATTAATAATGCTGTTTGTTGTGATTCCTATCTATAAGGAGCCTAATTTAAATTATGTGTTATAGCCAAGAGAAATTTCTATAAGAAGTTTTATCCTTTCTAGTGTACATCTATCTGTCATCTAACTATAACCATCTATTTTTCTTAACAGTTACCTAAGGCTGGAATGGGCATTCCTGTGTTATTGGTTGCATATGGAATGTGTGATCTACTTAATCTATATTGTCTTGGAATTTTTGCACTCTGTAGGAGAAAGTGTGGTTATTTTCTTTGGCAATGGGATTTGTAAGATGAGAGGTTTGGTGGCCTTGTTCTAGGTCCTTTGGTAGAAGCCAGCCTGCAGTAAGAGAATGCAGAACCTAGAGATGGAAGTTGTTTGGGGTCACATTGTAAAGAGTTACGATTTCATGGTGGGAATTTGATAAATGAAAGGTCACACAAAAGATTTAATTGAGATGGTGAAATGACATACCTATAGACTTGAGTTTTCTTACCTATAAAGTGTTGAACTGGCTCTGTTTTTCAGATTGTGGATTGCAATCCTATAGTGGTTCAGGACCAGTCTTAATCATGACCCTCCCCAATGTAGACTAGAAACTCAGGGTATCTTCTACAATTATTCCTTGGTACTTTGGTTTCAGTGATGTATAGATACATGAGGGTTACAAATGTTTGGGGCTTTGTGGATTTGGAAGAAGTAGCATGCAACCTCACTGTGATTGCTCCATGAAAGTCAGTAAGTCGTCAGTTTAGAACCTACTTTGTGGACCAGGGAAATGAGATGGTAGAACAGTGCAATCAACTGCTATAATGAGCATCTTACTTATTTGTGGAGTCCGACGAAAGTGTTTATGTCAGCTTCAGTGGCTGGGTGAAAAGCTACTGAATTGGGTCCTCCCTCATCTCATGCATATTTTTTAATTGGCTTGTGCTATGGTACTTCTGATTAATTTTAAAATGGAATGTGTCTCTGGGCCAGTAGTTCTTAAATCTGTTGTACACTAGAAACACCTGAGACTAATTCTAGTCCTACCATGAACAATTCTGAAGTTGAAAACTGGGAAATGTATCCCAGAAACTATTTTTTTCAGAAATTCCCCAAGCTGATTCTGATGCCAGTTATCAGTTGGTGGGGAGTTTAACGAATTTGTACCTACATCTAGTTTTAGTTGTCTTAAAACTTCATGGCATCATGCAGTATCTTTAACTTGTTCTATTTCTGTTTCAGTCTATACTCTTTAGTGAGGGGAGATGGCTATATATTTTGTCACCAGTGTAAGATTTTCATATACTTGAGTATAGCACTGTGACAATTGTGGTATGTTAACATCGTCCCTAGTCTTTACAGGAGGGTGTTTTTTGTTTGTTTTTTTTTTTTAGTTTTTTTTTAAGTTTAAATATATAAGCAGTTAATACAGAGGTTAATACATAATGTACAATAAAATCTTGGGGACATGCATATATAAATTTAATGTTTTGGGAAAAATGGTAGTATTTTAGAGTTGAGTTAATAAGATGGCCCAATAAGAGGTCTTTTGGGGACTTGGATCAACAGGCTTAAATAATTGTTAATTAGCAAAATAATTTTTAACTTGAAAATTCTGTTGGATGCAACAAACTTTTTATATTGGTACCTTTAGCAAACTGTACTTTATAATAGGGTTAACTTCAGGCCCATCTCTTAAGTAATTGCCACATTCACACTGGACGCATTGGGGCTCCATAGGACCATAGAGACATTTTGCAGGTGGATGGAACAGAGACAACTGGGAATATGTGTGGAGTGAAGAGAGTAGTGGGCATTGTTTAAATAGGTTTGGGCCAAAATGGATAGAGTATTGAATGACTAAAGGGAAGGATGGAGGGATAAAAAGTAAAAGACCTTGAAGAGGGAGAAGTATTTCTGACTTAAAAGTAGCATCTAAAAGAAGGCAAAGTTGGGGTAGTAATGGTATTGGCAAGCATTGTAATTTTAGTTCATTTGGTGAAGTTTAATGAGGTATTTGGAAGCAAAAGTAGATCTTTTAATCCTGTGTCTTAGTGTAAATTTCAACTTTTTAAGATCTCTTAAAAACCAGAAGAGGGGCGCCTGCGTGGCTCAGTTGATTAAGCGTCTGCCTTCAGCTCAGGTCGTGATCTCAGGGTTCTGGGATCGAGCGCTGCGTCAGGCTCCCTGCTCATTGGGGAGTCTGCTTCCCCCACTATCTGCTCCTCTCCCCACTTGTGTTCTTTCTCTCTCTCTCAAATAAATAAAATCTTAAAAAAAAAAAACAAACAACTTCGGGGACGCCTGGGTGGCTCAGTTAAGCGTCTGCCTTCAGCTCAGGTCATGATCCCTTTCTCTCTGACAAATAAAAATCTTTTTAAAAAAACCCCCACAAAACTTCGGAAGAAATGTATTGCGAGTCATACAGTTGGTTGTTGAAGAGGAGAAAAGGTATCAATAGTAATATTCCTTCAGAATGCTGAAGGTCTGCTTTAGCAATTTGCATTAGGATCTCCTGGAGAGCTTGTTAAAACCGATTTCTGGTCTATGCCCAGGTTTCAGCAGGTTTTGTGTGGCAATGAATATGCTTTCTTAACAAGTTCCCAGGTGATGATGCTGATGGTCGTCCAGGGACCACAGTTGGAGAATCACTAATGGCTAGTACTCAGAATTCAAAGAACTGAAGAGAAGCCACCTATTTGGCCCATGTGTTGGGTTTGTAGAGGGAAGTACAGGAGGTGCAGAAGGAGAAATGGACCTAAAGCCAGGCATACATTTAAAGGTCAAACTGGAATTTGAACCTAAACCTTCCATTGTCATTGTTGAGAAAAGTGAATGCTGTGATGTAAAGAACTGGAGAGATTAGGATTTGGCTCCCAGTTCTGCCAATTCTGTTTGTGACCTTGCATAAGTTAGTGTCTGAGTCGGTTTCCTCACTTGTACAGTGGAGATCACAGAACTTATTTATGTAAATATATTACATATATTTATATAATATAGAAATAGGATTGTAGCATTGTCAGGAATAGAGATGGGCTTGCCAGGCATCCTGCATATATAGGACATGTCCATTTTTGCCAGGATACCCTAAATGTCCTTTTTTCCAATATATTACAAAAAATTGGGCAGCTAATGCTATTTTCTTGCTACAGTAATTGCTGCTTAAATCCATTAAATAGCAACACTAGGTGGGGGAGAGGGTGTAGGTGAGGTTCCTAGCATGTGGTAATTTCTTTGCATGCTTAGTTAGTTTTTCTCATTCCCTCTTGAAGCACTTCTTTTACTTTCTCCTTCACTGAAGTGTGAGTCCAGTGAGGGCAGGGGCCATGTCTTGTTCTTCTAACCTCCCAGCCTTTGGTCTAGTACCTGGAGCATTAGACATGATATTCCAGTCCTTTAAGTTTGCCCAGAGGTAGTGGCACCTTGCCTTCAGTAATAATTGGACATGTGTTATGAGCAGCCACTATGCTTTACATACATTTCCTCTGTTTTCACAGCAACCTTGTAAGGGAACAAGCATTCATTTTACAGACGGTGAAACTTAAGATTTGTAGAACCTGCCGAAGTAACCTACCAAAGACCACAAGGCCCGTAAATGCGAGAGCAAGGAGAGATCTGGGCTTTTGGCTTCAAACTGTTCTCTTTCCATGGCATCATGTTGGTTCCCAGATAAATCCATAAAGAAAACATGTATCTCGTTTCAAACTTAAGAAATCACTGAAGAAGGCAGGCAAATAACTAAAGCCAAGATGACCGAGATGCCAAGAAGCACCAAACTCAGTTGTCAAAACCAACATGATGGGCCTGCAAGTCTCTTCATTAGCACCAAAGCTCCTGACAGGTTATCAGAAACCTCCATGTCAAGGTTGAAAGGACCAAAGTCACCAGAGGAACATAACAGCTTTCGGTCTAGTCCATTTTCCGATCCTGTTTTAGGTGGCAATATCCCTTTGTATCGGGGGAAGCCCACTACTGTAGCATGTGGTCCTATTGGGGTTCTTAATTCTGGCTCTCCACTCCTTGTTCATAAGGATGACCCAGATTGGATCAGCTACAGTATGCCACAACCCAGCTGCAGTAACTGGTTCAAGGAGTGGACAAGTGGCCTAAACAAGACCCATCAGGGT